CTTTGTCTTATCTCCTTTGATATAGCACGCAAGAATTTCGAATGATTTGAAGATGTTGCTNCTTTGTCTTATCTCCTTTGATATAGTCTCATTTAAGTTGTGCAATACAAGCTGCATTATCTTCAAATAAAATTGTTGGACTATCTTTTGTTGAAATTAATTCTCATGATGCTCGGATGATGGGTCATTCTCTTCAATCATACACATTCTCGACTTGCCTTATGGATCGCAAGAATTTCGAATGATTTGAAGATGTTGCTATTAAAATTTGTTTCACAGATCTTTATGATATAGTTGTTCATCAACATGCATACATATATAACATTTGTGATTTAGTTTTATGTGAATCAGATAAATAACCTATACAGATGCATATCCCACTGTCAATCCCGACTTTTGAGAATAAAATAATCTCAAATCAATAGTACCATTCAGATAACCAAAAATGTGTTTAATACCATTTCAATGCCTTTGAATGGATATAGAACTATATCTTGTAAAGAGATTTACATAAAAAGCCATGCAAGGTGGAGTACAATTTGCAAGATATCTTAATGCTCAAATTGTACTAAAATATGGTATTTCAAGACTAAGAAAATTTTCTCCATCTTCAAGTGGATAAATAGATTTTTTTTCACATCAAATGATCGAATAATTATAGGTGATGTCAATGAATGTGCTTTATCCATATAAAAATGTTTTAAAACTTTTTATATATATTAAGATTGATGAATAAATAATATTTCTTGTAAATTTTTAATCTGCAACCCAAAAATAAAATTTGATTTTTCTCAAATCTTTAATTTCAAATTCATTTTTAAAATAATATGCAATTTTGTTGAGTTTTGTAGAAGTTCCAATTAAATTTAAATTATCAACATAAATTATTACAATTGCAAATCAAATATTTGTTTTCTTTATAAAAACACATTGGCAGACGTCGTCGTTTTTATAACCCTCTTTCAAAAAATATTTGTTAAGGCAATTATATCACATGCGTCCGAATTATTTCAATTCCTATTATAATCTTTACAATTTAAATAAGAACATAGTTCTCGATCATATATAATTTGTTGCAGGAACTTAAGGTCCTTTAAGGACTTACATAAATATGTCACTATCAAATAAATCATATAAATAGGCAGTTAACACATTCATAAAGTGCAAGTCGAGCATTTGTGACATAGTCAAATTAATTGAGAACCTAAAAGCAGTGGTATCTATTACGAGAAAATATGTTTCTACATAATCAATTTCTGATCTTTATAAGAAACATTGAGCTACGAGTCGAGGATTTGTATATTATAATTTCATTTCTCTTCCTTACAAAATTCCACTTATATCATATAGGGATTACACTTTCAAATGTTTGAACTACATGTCTAAATGCTTATCGTTTCTCTAAGGAACTCAACTTCGCATGTATGACCTTTTTTTATTTTGACCAATCATTTCTATTTGACCGTCATTAATAGACTAAGAACTGTGGAAATATGACATGTTAGGATTGATTGATATTTGTTTACATAAAACTTGATGTTACTTGAGCTCGAAACTTGTATTTTTTTGCATCACGAATAAATGTTTTAGTTCATATGCTGGAATAGCTTGAAAGTAGTGGAATTTAGTGCTAAAACCAAGAAAAAGCTACTATTACATACATACCTAAACCTCTTTTAGGATAGTTTGCGGATGGTTGAATTAGTGTAGGAAGAAATTAATATGATTAAGGATTCCACGTGTAAAATTGTTGTGCAGATTGTCTAAGGCCAATATGATGAAGATAGATGAAAATCTTGAGTTATGAGTTGATTTTTAAGATTAAGTGTTTAATAACGTGTATTGCACTAATCATAGTATGAAATAAAGGAAAAAGCTGTCATTTTTTAAGCTATCCTAAAAGATCCCAATGATGACACCGAATTGAAAATCTCAAAAAAAAAAAAAAAAAATAATAATAATAATAATAATTTGAAAAAAG